CTCACTTGCACTTTTTAAAAGTTTGAGAGTTTAATTACAATTTATTTTTTTATTTTTCTTTTATTTTTTTTATTTATATAGAAGGGTATATTGATCATTTTACACTAAAAACAGTGAAAATAACATTTTCTGCAGTGAAACGTTGAAATAAGGATGAAAATGCAAAAAAAATGAAATGTATGAACGTTGTGCACACTATGTGCCAAAAGTAGAGACGTTTTGTACTATTAAACCTTTATTGATTTAAAAGGCCAAGTTAAAACAATCAAATGCTTCTCAACCAACATGGCAACATTGAACATGTTTTCATTTCACAAACTCGATGTAAATTTTACGTTAAATTTTATTTTTTTGTATTTCGAGGTTCAAGAAAAACATTATACTTAGAAGCATATAAACATGATCATAATTTTAAAAAGGGATAATTGTAACAAAAACTCCAAATATTTGAATTATTAGCAGACGTTTCCCAAATCTTTCAAACGTTGCAGCCGTCACCCCTAACTTTTTCAACCATTGCATGTGAAGTCTTTTTGGATAGTTTCCATCCAAAATGTTATTAATTGATCACCAAAATAAATTTGGACCATTTTTCTAATAAAATAAGGGAATGTAAAATCTTCTATACATTATATACATTCTTAAAAAAAATAAAAGAAAACAAAACGTCATCTTCTTCAACCAATCCCTCTCCCTCCCCAAACCAAAACCAAAAATCTCAATCATCTCAATCGTCGACGATCGTTGGTGCTATCCATATTTGGTGTCCACCGCAAAGCACCGATATAAACTGCAATAATCACTGTAAATCGTTCAAAATATAAACATTAATGGATGGACATAACCGCTGCAAAGCACCGATTCAAACACTGACCTTAAACTTTGTCTACCACAACAACAATTTTAAACTTTCGCCTTTGCTGCAAGAAATTGACAATGGCATTCGAGCCTTCTCAAAAAAAAATAGAGCTAGGCCAATCACAAATCTACTCTCTCTCTCTCAACCACAAACTCTTCTGCAATGGCTTCAATTTGTAAGGGCACCAAGAATAGCATAACCTAAGAACTCACACAAATCAACTTCCTCATCCCATGTCTTCGCTCCTAGAATTGCATAGCAGTTTTGAGAGCATCGACATATTTCTGAGTAACCGCACTGGGACTTTGGGAGGCCCCGAAACAGGAGCAAGCTTCAAAATCTAATTCTTTCTTGTACATTTTCTGCTTTATAGTTAATGCGATTGCAAATGCAATTGCTGCTAGTATTATCAACACAATAAACCAATCAAACCATCCTTATGACCCCGATTTCTCTCCCATTTTTCTTCAATAATAAAGAAATTTTCTCGCAATTGTAGAAATATGTGAAATAAGGGTATTAATTGTTGAATTTGAACATGCAAAACAAAATGACCAGCACTAAAAAATATGGGGTCAACTATAGGGTTTTGATCTTTGTTGAAAATTATTTGTTAGTAAAATGACGTTTAACTGTAATTAGAAGGCAATGTGGGAAAATTGGGAGAAATTGGATGTTTGAAGGGAGAAAATAGTCGGTTTACTGGAGTTAGTGGTGCAATCGAGCCGAGCCGAGCCGGCTCGTTGGCTCGTGGGCTCGGCTCGTTGCC